TCACCTGGGCGTATTCTGCTTATCTGTGGCTGCACCCTTCTGCAGAAGTAAAACTTTTCTTTTTGCCTTGTTGAGCAACACCCACGTATTTCTCTGATCACAGTTTAGGAACCAGCACTTCTAACATACCTAAAGCTAAAAACTTGGTGTCACTTTCTTTTGAGACAATTTCTCACTTTGTAGACCAGACTGGTTTGGAACTCACAATCCTCTTGCTCAGAGTCTTGAGTGCTGGGATTACAGGCATGATCTGCCACAACTGGCTGGTGCCATTTTTTTAGTTCTCTTCCATGCTAAGGAAAATTTACACTAAAAGCAGTAATGACAAAGAAATTCTAAAGTAGACATGGAGGAGATTTGAAGGTGTATATTACTATTTTATTTGTTTAAGACGAAATCAAATAAATATTTACTAACATTTGCTTGCTGGGGTTCTAAACTAGGAGTTAGTAATCCTGTGATGATCAAACCATGGTCTTTGATCTCTTGGGGCTTAGTGAGGTGGCTTTCATTGTCTGGCTGGATGGCTGTCACCATTAAGAAAAATCTACCCTTTTAACACTGGAATTGGCAGCATCGTTAGATTGTTGATAGTTTTCCTACAACTCTACAGTGATTCTTTCAGGCAAAACTGAAACTATTTCTGGTAGGGCTTTTTCTTTGTTTTTTGCAGTACTGGGATTTGAACTCAGGGCCCTCACCTTGAGACACTCCACCAGTCCTTTTTTGTGAAGGGTTTTTTCGAGACAGGGTCTCTTGACCTATTTTCCCAGGCTGGCTTTGAGCTGTGATCCTCCTGATCTCTGCCTCCTGAGTAGCTAGAATTACAGGTGTGAGCCACTGGTGCCCGGCTCCAGTATTCTTAAGTAGGAAAATAATTTCCTAAATGGTGACCAGAAAACTTGGGAACATAGGGAAAGTAGGTGGCTGATACTATGGCCAAAGGACAGCCTGGCTAAGGTGCTACTTAGCTCCTGCTCTTGGACCCCTGGAATGTGACACAGTGGGCAATGGAAAAAGCCTGACATTAATTCCAGTGTCTTCCTTCTCTGTAACTCCAGTCCCTGTTCACATCTAGGGCAATGAAGATTCAACTAACCCAGCTTGGGTCATATGCCTGTGCCTCAGTTATCAGGGATAAGGAAAAGCATCAAGGCTTTTTGGACTTCAACCCACAGACTCACACAACTGTGTCTTTCCCAAACAAGGGGAAGAAATTCTGATGCCACAAATTAAAACAAAATCCCAAGACACTAACTGTCTACCATTGAGCCTGCAGATTTACTAGTCGCTTATTTCCAATGATTCTCCACGTAATCATGATGCAATTTGTTAGTTGTAATGAAGACAGTTTGTACTGAGTATTTTAGATTTTTTTCTCCTAAAAAACTGTTACTGGTGCTGGTGTTTGAACTTTAGGCCTTGTACTTACTTGCTAGGCAAGCACTCTACCACTTGAGCCACTCCACCAGCCCTTTTTTGTGTTGGGTATTTTTGAGGTAGGGTCTCACTTTCATTTTCCCTTGGCTGGCCTGCGACCATAATTTTCCTGATTTCCATTTTCCGAGTAGCTAGGATTACAGGCATGAGCCACTGGCTCCAAGCCTATCAGACACTTTTTATCAGACATTTTGACAAGTTTTAAACAAGTCTATTGTTTGTTTAGGTTAATTAATCACAATAGGCTTCAGAGGTCACATATTTTATTTCCACGTAGGACACTAAGATAAGTAAGACAAATTGTAACACTAGTGAGAATAGGAAATGGAACTAATCTGCTTCAGTACTTCAATTAAGTTCCCAGGGAGCTAGCTCCCTTAGTTTAAAAAGACAAAACAAACAAAGAAAGCTGTCTTTACAATTATGTGACCAAGTATTTTACTTCACATTCTCATTTCTCAGGTTCAAAATGTGAAGTATGTGATTTTCTCCCCCTCAAAACCTTCATCTACAACTTATTTCCTTCTTCAGGTTCTCCCCAAGACTTCTCCTTATCTGAAAACTGTAGGGACCAAAACCTAATTAATGTAGGAAAAACATCTGATAATCTATCATTTACACATATATGATGCCTATGAAGCTCAGCCGGATGCCCATAGCTCAGTCTGTAATCCAAGCTACTTGGGAGGCTGAGATCAGTAGAATCACGGGACAGCTCAAGTAGTTATGGAGACCTGATCTCAAAAACCCATCAAAAAAAGGGCTGGCAGAGTAGATAAGTGGTAAGAATGTCTGCCTCACACATGTGAGAACCTGAGTTCGGGCCCCAGAGCTGCAAAAAAAAAAAAAACCACAAAACTACCACAGCAAAAAGCAATGAAGGTTTGGCTCAAGCAGTAGAAGGCTACTTTGCAAGAAAGAAGCTCTGAGTTCAAAAACCCCAGTCCCACCTAAAAGATAAAAATTTAAAAAACTGAAGCTCAATTATATAATTTTTTTTTTCCTGGTGGGATTGGGGCTTGAAGTGGTGGTTCAGCCTTGCTATGCAAGCACTCTACCACTTAAATGCCTGCCTTTTTTGTGTATGTATGTCAAGGTAATTTTGAGAAAGGGTCTCACAAAAAATTTCCAGGGTCTGGCTTCAAACCACAATCCTGATTTATGCCTCCTGAGTAGCTAGGATTACAAGTGTGAGCCACTGGTTCCTGGCTTATGGAGCCATTTCAACTATTTATCTAAGTTTAACACCTCTCTTGTGGGTTTTCTACTTTTAATTTTAGTTGTCTGTAAGCAACTGGAAACTCTAGGATGGGGTGGGGGCCGTGAAACCCCAAATTTTCATTAGGTCTTAAGAGTCCTAAAACAAAGCCAGAGAAAGTCATCTGGTTTGAGTCAATTTGGAAATAAGGAGCTAGAGGGACTGAGGTTTTCTCCCACACCTTATTCTCTTCAGGAGACTGCACATGCTGGAGCCACAGTCCCTGGTACTAAGGATGCTGGGACCTGCTTATCTTCCAGACTACTAGATTCCACTGAGTGGGACCTGACCTAGCTTACAGCCAGTGTGCCTAGATATACACCCTTTCCTCCATGTAGCCTTGTCTCTTTACTGTCTGATCAGTAATAGGATGTATCTTTTCATTCTTGCTAGTTTTAAACCAATCCTTGACATCCTTACTCTCTCTTCTCAATAGTTGTTTCTCTGGCATATTTAGGTTTAGTTATGTATGTGTTGATCACCTACCACACAGAAGTAACTGGGTTAGACATGTAAGGTACTGGTTGCTTTGTATAAAAAATTTTTGGTGTCTGGGTTTATAGTTAAGGATTATTTCTACCTCTAGTTTTATAGTTTCTGATTAAAAAAAAAGCTATTGGGACATAGCTATATTGTCTATCTACTCATTTTCAATTTGCTACACTATTTTGTATTATAGTTAAAAGTATGGATACATAAAGCCAGACATGATGGTTCATACCTATCTCAGCACTCAGCAGGAAGATCAAGAGTTTGAAGCTGGGCACAGTGGCTTAAGCCTATAACCCTAGCTACTCAGGAGGGATTGGGATGATTGTGGTTTCAGGACAGCCTGGGCAAAAGGTTCATGAGACTCCATCTCAACCAGTGGCTGGATGCAGAGGTATGTGCCTGTCATCCCAGCTGCACAGGGAAGCACAAATAGGAGGATCATGGTCCAAGCCAGCCCAGGCATAAAAAGTAAACAATGCAAAAAGGACTAGGGGCATGGCTCAAGGGGTAGAGTGCCTGCCTAACAAGCATGAGGCCTTCTGTTCAAATCCAGTAACACATACACACACACACAAAAAGAGTTGAGGCCAGCCTGGGGTAGTGAGACCCTGCTCAAAACACCAAAGCTGGATGTAGTGCTCAGGAGGTGGTTGAGGAGAACCATGAGTTTGAGGATACCTTGGACAACAGGGAGATTCTATCTCAAAAAAACAAAAAAACAAAAAAAACCCCAGCAAGGGCAGAGTTCAAGTGGTAGTGTGCCAGGCCCTGGATTTAATCCCCAGTAGTATGTATTTATCTCTTATATCTACCACAACTAGAAACCAATCCTTACATTTAGTAGGTACTCAAATCATATGTTAATGGATGAATATATATTACATAAAAATAATATGCAGAAAAAAAGCCAAGAGCCAAAACAGACCAAATAAATAGGAATTTATTCCTTTAATTAAACCTAAAGTCACTGTACAAGTTCATAATAATTAGCACAGGACAAAGAACAAGTAGAGATAAGTTCTGTTCTATCCATGTAGTTAGGTATAGACAGAAAACATGAGTCAGGAGCATTACTTTCCCTTTGTAGTAAAATGTACCTACTTTTGGCATGTTTTGCTTTGGTATAGAGAAAGACTATATTGAAGTCAGGCTATCCATCTTTCTTCTCATTTGTAACACATGCATACAAACAAAACAGATGAATGGAGGGAGTTCCTTGTCAGAAATATGCCCCAACGTAGCTCGATGATATAAAGAAAATAATTTTTCCTTCTTAGGAAAATTCTTAGGCCTGTGATTCCCTATCCAAAAATTTAGAAGACTGAATGAGATAATTGCTAAGGTTCTACAATTCATATATCCATATCAATTAATACATCATGATGTAAGCAGACAGAAAGGCCACACACTCTGGTCCCCTAATAGGCTTGACCATGTGACATACTTAAAGCAAAAGTGACAAATACATCTTCTAAGAGTAAACTGAAACATCTGCCATCTCCTTATCCCTCTGCTCTAAGAACAGCAAAAGGGGGGCAATTCCTTCAGTTTGGATCCTGGAGTGAAGATGACACAGAGCAGTGTCACAGCCAATCAACATCTGACATTTAGGGAAATATGAGAGTGGCTTATGTTTCTATAGCAGAATCTAATAGAAGCTAATTAAATATGAGAATTTGATAGTAACTGAGTATCAATACATAGTTTAAAACACAAAAACTAAACAATAGAAAACTGATAATGTAACAGAAATAAATTAAAAAGCAACTTTTAATAGTAAAAACTAAAATAGTATTGGTAGTAAAAGTAATTGACTTAAGATATACATAGAATTTTCTTTCTGACTTCTGGTTTGAATCTTTGACTATTCCAAGTAGGAATCAACATTTTTTAAAGTCTGTTCTTCATCATTAAGATATTCCAAAATAATATTTCCCCCATTATATAAAGGACAATCTTCCTTTGTAATCCAGGCTTCCAAAGTATCAACCAAGGGCAAGGCTTCTCCTGAAGTGCTGTGACATATCCTTAATTTCTGTTGAGAGAGAAATCATATTGTAATAAACTGCTTTGTTTAGAATATCCTAAAACTTAAGGAAAAACATACAATTTGATGTTACCTTAGCCATTAACTTATTATTGTCATTTTTGAGACTGGCTAGTGAAGCTGCAACATCTATGACCTTTCCAATGCTCCATCGGTGGCAAAAGAACATGGGTTTGCTCTTCTCTTTGCTCCCCTTTGGTAACAAAACCTGAAAGTAAATTCTTTCTGTCTGTAAAAACGAGATGTTAAAATACAGATTAGATACATGCAGTAAGACATCTGTTCTTATCTGGTGATACTCCTCCCTGTCTTCTCTGGTCAAAGAAGAATTAGTCTCTAATAATGTAACTTTTAGTGGGAAGACCACTCATAGTAGCCCGCATCTGTCTAAATGCATAGGCATAAGGACCAAGACTCTGATCAGGGTGGACTGTGCAAAGATAGGCATGTGACTTAAGTCAGGCCAATGAAGGGTCTTTTCCTAAGATTTTATGTTCAAGGGCTGGCAGAGTGACTCAGTGGTCGAGTGCCTGCCTAGCATGCATGAGGCCCTGTAGTATCAAAAAAAAAAATTTACGTTAAAAAACTGAGGTTGGGGGAGGTCTCTTTTTTCTGAGTTTTTTTTTGTTTGTTTTAATGACTTGTTGATTTAAACCTGAAGTTGCCTTCCCCTTAGCCATTCTTAAATCAATTGAATGACAGGCTCCAACAGATGATGTTAAAGAATATAAAATGACAATTTTCCAAAAGCCAAGAGCTAAAACTAAAAATGTAACTCATGTGTCAAATTGGGTAATTAAATCTACACCTAGAAAAACTGCACTGAAGTTGGAAAATACCATAGAAAAAATCTTAAAGATACCAATAAGGCAACAAGAATAAAATGGACAACAACAAAGCTGGGCCTGGTGGTACCTGCCTTTAATCCCAACACTCAAAAGATGGAGGCAAGAGGCCAGCTTGGGCTACAAAGCAAGACCCTGTCTCAAAAAATAAGAAACAAATACAACAAAGCAAAACAAAAACAAACACACAAAAAAGAAAAAGGCTAAGAACAGATGTTTCCCTAACAATAGATAACAGAGATAAATGAAAAGTGTATGAGGAGTAGAGAAATACTAATAAGAAAATCAAGGTAAAAGTGAGAAAATAAGAGCTTTCAGACAAAAAAAGATCAATAGTTTACCATCAAAGACCCTTTACTGCTGGTAGAGTAGCTAAAGTGGTACAGTACCTATTTAGTAAGTATGAGGCCCTGAGTTCAAACTCCAATCCCCCCCCAGCCACAAAAAAAGAAAAGACCCTTTACTGAATGAGATATTGAAGAATGTACTTTAGTAAAAACAGAAGTGGGCTGTAAGGGAAAGAGAAAGAAAATAAGTAAATAGGTAAACGTAAAAGTAATTTTATTTGTTATTGGAGAGAATGGGACAGGAGATATTCCACTGTGTAAGGCAAGCTCATTATCTTAGTCAGAAGGACAGAATACTAACAACTCAAGATTTTGAAGGAAAAAAATTGGTATTTAATTATATAAGAAAATGCTTCTTAAAATCATTATGATCAATCTTTATATTGGTGATTCTAGATAATAGCAGCATGAGAAAATAACTGGTGTTAATTTTTGAAAAAAGAAAAATTAAAACTACCTCTACTTGTTAATGGGGTATGAGATGCCTAGGAATTTGAAAACATAGACATTAGTAGGAAAAAATTCTCTAAAATTAATAAAAGATTTTGGTGAAATAGCTGAATAAGATGTACACAGAAGTCAAAATGTTTTTTCCTCTAATATTAGCACAAATAGAAGTGTGGAAATAGTCTGTTCACAGTGGAAACAGGAATGAAAATAACAAATACTTTTAAATGAAGAAAACTATAAGATGCTACAGAAGACAATAAAACATGGTCTTATTAAGTGAAAAGACACACAAACACGTGTACACATACACACACAAAAGTGGATTCTTAGACAAGAAGCTAATCTTATAAAAACATCATTTCTCCCCAAATTAATATGTCATATAATGAATCCTTTAGGGATATTTCCCACTTAAGCCTAAAACCTAGGCTTACTGACAGATGTCACTGGAAAATTGAATTTTACTTCACCTAACTTCATAGAAATCACTCAAGAGTGTCTCAAGGAGGCTTTGTGTCTGTTAGTAGCATCTTATGAGCAGGAAAGGATCTAGACTCCCCAGGAACCGGAGGCAAAGAGGATATAAAACCTCCATGAGATGGCAAGAAAGCCTCTTATAAATGGTTAAATTCTTACTTCCAGTTACTTATAACTTACAACCTTAAAGGAAATGGGGGAGGTAGGAAGATACCATGTTAAGACCTAGCAGTATTATTTCTTGCATTTTATATTCTTTAAAATCATCTAGATTTAATTACAGTTCTATGACTACTGTTTACTTTGAGCCTCTTTTAATAGGGTTTAGAATTGTAATCTAGAGCCTGTCATTCAAAACCTTGTCCCAGAGTCACAACCATAAAAATCCTAGATTTTTAAAAATTTGGATATAACAATCATAAAATTGTTTCGATGAATAGTGCTAAAAATTGCTAAGAGAAAATATAGTCGGGGTCACACTACTGGATGGATATAGGACATTTAAAAAGCTACTGTGTCAAATCTATTTGGTATTAACATTATGACTAAAAAATAGATGGTGGTGAAGTATAATAGGACCCATATATAAAAGTTAGCATGAAGGTGATATTTTAATATTTCAGTTCTATAGAACAAAGATTATTTATTTAATAATAGTGATCGAAAGTAACCAACTGGAAGAATATAAGATTGTTCCTTTAGCTTACATCATACATGAAAGAAAAAATCCAGTTGGATTAAAGACAAATGTAAAATATCTAAAATTCTGATGAAACTCAAACAGGAATTAAAGAAAAGACAGATCTTAGAAAAACTGAAACGATATATCAATTAGAAACATAAATCAATACATCTGATAAATTTTGAAAGTTTCTAAAGCAGATTGATTATAAAGGATTTATACCTATTGTAATCTAAGTGCTTCTATAAATTGACCAAACAAAATAAAAAGATAATACAAAAGAAAAATGATCAAAGGATAGCATGGTTAATCTTGATGGTCAACTTGATTGGATTGAGAGACACCTAGATTAGTAAAGCAGAATTTCAGGTGTGTCAGTGATCTTCAGAGACACCTGGCATGTGGACAGCAAATGAAGCAGCTACTTGTGGTTCTGTCTCCCTTCCAGCTGCCATGAGGGGAGCAGCCAGCCTCCTCTGCCACATATTCCTGCTGCCATAATATTAGACCTCACCACAGGCCTACAGCAATGGAACCTACTGACCATACACTGAAACCTCTGAAATCAAGAACCAAAATCTTTCCTCCCTTGTTTCTAATTTTTTCTTCAAGTGATGAAAAGGTAACTAACACACATGGTCAATTCAGAAAACAGAAATTAAAAGTGATCAAAAACCCTATTAAAAGAGGCTCAAAGTAAACAGTAGTCATAGAACTGTAATTAAAGCAATTACAAGTTATTTTTGTACAGTCACAAGACTGGAGAACGTTGAGAATAGTGATAGTATCTAGTGGAAAGCATGGGCGAAGAGCAACCTCATGTATGGGCCACAAGAGGAGTACAATGAACTAGTTTAGGATAGCTGGCTCTTACTGATTCTTAAACAATACTTACCTTCAGATTACTGATTTGTGAAATGAAGACAATAATATGTCATCACAGAAGAGTTGTGAGTATGAAATGAGATTAAAAAAAATCCAGAACCACAAAACAATGCTTGCCATAGTGTAATTACTCAATAGTTTCCCTATTATAGTTACTACTGGTAGCAATGTGAATTCTTACATTCTTTTGTACAGTTGTTTGGCAATATTTATTAAAATTTAAAATATGTATCTTTGATGCAAGAAACACAGTCCTGGAAATTTATCTCACAAAAACACAAGTATCAGACTGAAGCTACCTAACACAGTGGCCAAAACTGGAACTAATATGAATGCTATCAATGGGAAAATGGCAAAATAAGCCACAGTACAACCACATCATGGAGTAAGATGCAGCTTGTAATTATAGCACACACAGGAGGCTAAGATAGGAGGACGATGAATTTGAGCCCAGCCTGGAATAGAGAGCCAGTTCAAGACTAGCCTGGCCTATACAGCAAGACCTCAAAAGACCCAAAAAGAGTGATAGAGAACAGTTACTGCTGTATCAGCACATTTCAGGGATTTTTGACCAGGTATTAATGAGAAGCATATATAGAGAGAAGGATATATAATCTTTCTAAAGCCTGGTTTACTTTTGTTTATAGCCTTCATCACTATACAACATATTTTACTTACACAGACACAGTGTTTGACTCAATGGAATGTAAATTCCTTAAGGGCAGGAACTACTGTTTTATTTGTTGTTGTATCCACAGGGCCTGATAGATAGCAGAAGCTCAAAAAGGTGTGTTGGTTAAATGAATATTATGGCATTTTATAAAATAATGACAAAAAAATACTCTTTATGTTTTGAACACATACATAAGTAGAATATATTCCATTGTGTAAAGCTATACACATGTATAAACATGCATGCATATACACACATATATAGATGTGTGTATGTGTGCACACGTGTGTATATATATTACCTATTAGTATATTTATAAACATGCAACTAAATATATCTACACACACATACATTAATGATAAAGGGAAAAAATTCTATCTATAGACTTGTGGAGTATTCCATAATGTACTATTAAGTGTGTCATTTTAAATTGTCTCTAAAGCCAAACTGCCAGGCTTCAATTAGTAGTTTTTTCCTCACTAGCTGTGTTAGTAAGAAGTTATTTAACCTTTTTCTGCCCCAGTTTCCTCATCTGTAATATAATATACCTCATTAGCTTAGTGCAAGGATGATGTGTTAGAAGAGTGCCCAAAGTTAAATGCTATGAAAATTTTTACTGTTAGGTCTTAAATAATGAAACAATTGTGCAGAAATGTAAAGGGTATCATTGGATGCTTTAGGATAGGTCTTCTCAGCTTTGTCAACACTGGCTTTTTTTCTTTTTTGGCAGTGTTGGAGTTGAATCCACAGCCTCAAATGTGGTAGGGACAAGTGCTCTACCACTGCACTATACTCCTAGCCCAGTACTAAAATTCTGAACCAGAAAACTCTGTTGTGGGCACTGTCCTGTATCTTAAATGATGTTTAGCAGCCTTCCAGGCCTCTACCCATTAGCTTTCAGTAGCACTCCATCTCCAATTGTGACAATCAAAAATGTTTCCAGATATTGCCAATGTCCCCCAGGAGGCCAAATCATCCTTAGCTGAGAATCATTGCTTGAGAGGGATGGAAATGGATGAGGGACTCAGGAAGGTAAGTTTAACTTTCTTTTACACACATCTTTCAAAAGCATGTTAAACGCATGTACTACTTTGGCAATTTAAAAAATACCTAATAAAATTTTTTAAAAGGAAAATGTTAAGGATAATCATTAAAAGAAAACTATCATCAATGATCTCCAGATCAGTAGCATGAAAGGGAATGTCAGAAAATTTAATTAAGAAAAATGATGACAGAAAGAGAAAGAATCGAAAGAATGATAAGCAGAAAATTTAAGGAAGAAATACATTGAAATGCATCAACAATTACAATAATTACAAATACACTTAACTCACCTATAAAAGACTGATACTATCAAGCTGGATTAAAAAAATAAAGTCCAGCTATATGCTGCTTATAAGAGACACCCTAAAACAAAACACAGAAAAGTTGAATATAAAGGAATGAAAAAAGACATAATAGTTAAATATTCATCAAAAGGAAGCTAGTAAAACAATATTATGATCAAAATAAGATTTAAGGCAAAATTCACAACAAAGATACAACAATGAAGAAATTCCACATATCTCATAAAACATAACTCAGTAAATTACTAGAATTAAAATAAAAAAACTTCCATAGTTGTAGATTTTAGTAACACATCTGTCTCTGAAATTGATAGATCAAAGCGAATAAAAGTTACATACACAGAGACACACATACGCATATATGGACACAGAGATAGCAAATGACAAAACCAATAGGGAAAAATACAAATTGGTACATATCAGTAAAGGATATATGAAAATTCTTTGTACTATTTTTGCAACTGTTCTGTGTTTGAAATTGTATTAAAATAAAGATACCCACCCCCCAAAAAAAAACACCACTCAAACATCTACACTGAAAATAAGTTCACAAATCTATGAGAAGTTGGAAAAAGAACATGAAACAAAATCTAAACACAGTAAAGAAAAGGAGATAATACCTAAGCAGAAATCAATGAAATATAAAACAAAGAAGCAATACAGGTAATAAACCAAAACATGGTTCTTTGAAAGGACCATTAAAAAGAAAATAAAGACTAATCTCTCAAAGACTGTGAAACAAAGAAAAGTACAAATGAAAACAATTATGAATGAAATGGAATGAGTATAACAGAATAGATTTTGGATCATAACTGAACCACTTGAACAACTTCATAACATATTGATGAAACTACATCTAACAGAAGATTTTTAGAAAAATATTATTTACCAAAATTAGTAAAAGAAATAGGTTATTCAAATAAGCCAAGAACAATTTAACATGTTAGAATAATATTCAAGATTCTCACCTCAAAAAGATAATAGATTTAACAGTTACAACAACTTAAGTGTTATAATCTCTATCTTCTACAACTGTCTCAAAGAACAGAAGAGGCAAAGCTGCTTAGCTAATTTTATGAGCATAATCTTGCTAGTAATGTCACTAAATAAACTGAAATAATATATTAACAAATCAATTTAGCAATGTATTTAAAATAATCATCTACCAAAGTCAAGTGGTTTTACTCACTGGTAAGGGAAAAAAACGATCATTTTACTAGATACAGGAAAAAAGGTAAAATAAACTTTATTACCCATTTGTGATATAAATTCTTAGCAAACTAGGAACAGAAAGAACTACTGTTAGCCTGTAAAGGACACAGCAAATATTTGATGACATTTTAGAAGTACGTGCATTAAAGTCAGAAACATGATGAAGATACCTGCTAGTATCCATATTATTCAATATTGTGAAGATTTTAGCACTAACGCAAGTAATAATAACGCAAAGGAAGAATAAGGAGAAAATTTTGGGGAAAAAAATCCCACTAAAACTGGCAATTGCAGAAAATAAGACTACACAGAAAGCATCCTAGAAAAATCTACAAAGTATGAGAACCATTTGAAATTCATTTGCTGAATAGAAGATCAACATATAACAACCAGCAATGCCCAGACAGGAAAATGTGATTTTTAAATAAAGTTATTATTTACAATGACAGTAAAAATTATAAAAAGCCTCAGAGTAAACCTAAAACTATATAAATTTGTATGGTAAGCATTATAGAATGTTTCTTACACACACACACACACACACACACACACACACACACACACAAAATGACCTAAAGAAAGTTGGGCTGGGCATAAATAAAGCAAGACCCTACACCATAAAAAAGAAAAAGAAAAAAAAAAAAAAAAAAACAAGTTGAAAAGATAAACCATAGCCATGGATGGGATAAGTCATATTTTTATGAAAGACTAAATGGCCAGGAACAGACATGGCTAAAAGCACTACTTGAAATAGACAAATCAGTACAACTACAGACAACAGGAAGTTGATAATATTCAGCAAAACTGAAGATAAGCACACTTTATAAGGCAGGTTTTCTACTTCCAGGTATATTCCCTGGAGTAGCACTTTTTTGATGGTCTTAATTCACCAGGGGTTCGAAAATCAACCTAGTACATTCTCATTAATTTTTAAAAGAATAGAAATGAACTAAATAACATCAAGAGTTTATAACACATATTAAGTGTAAGCATTATTTAATGAAACTGTGCTAAGATGTGAAACTATGTATGTATGTACACTTGAGTTTTTTCAGTGTAGCTCCGGCTGACCTGGAACTTGATATGTTGCTCAGGCTGGCCTTGAACTCAAGATCCTCCTGTCTCAGCCTCCTGAGCGTTGGGATTAATGCCCAGCTCCAAGTTGTTATATAAAATAATTTATATTATAAAATCTTAAAGGAACTGTACTGGAGAAACTCCTCCACCTATACGTAAGGATTTTCACTACAGAACAGTTTATAATAGCAAAATATTGGAAAAAAATGTTTTTACTACAAGAATAGAGAGTGGCATATAGTCATACTATGCAATAATGTAAAGTAATCAAATAAACTAGACTAATAAAAGTATTGACATAAAGTGTTTTAAAAAATGCCAATGAGGAAAAAAAGGTTGAAGAAGAATACATATTGTTCACTGCCATCTGTGTAAAGTGAAAGCTCCCAAAAGCCTGTTATTTATGCGGACCATATACCATGATGATACATACTAGGATTGGGTTGTTACTTGATGGGAGGGAGGAAGAAAAATGGGACTTCAACTATGGGAAATTTTTTGCTTTTCAAAATTTCTAAGACCAACCTGTGGCAATGACTTATCCCCACTGGCATGCATCTTTAATTTCATCAGGGCAACCTTTGCTGCTGTTTCGCTACGTTTTGCACCTTTCCGTCGTTTACTTGCTGTCTCTCCTATTTGGGAATCTAAGAAATAAGTATAAGCATGTAAGCAATACACATTATATTTCCCAGAGTTTTATTATAAAGCATTTATTAATTATAGCTGTGCAGCATACATAAATTACATACAATTGAGATGCATAAAAACCATTCTGTTTGGTGGGGGTGTCAGCAAAGTGGGGAGAGTACTAGGGGATGAAGAGGATCAAAGTACATTTTTTTATATAGCATAATGAAACCCATCAGAAAATGTTTGAAAAAGGGGGTGAGGGAGGAGAGGGTTCAGGAAATATAATAATGGGGGAGAACTTGTTCAAAGAATAGAGCATGCATCTATGGAATTATCACAATGAAACCCCCTTATACTAGTAATGTATGCTATTAAAAATATTAAAAAAAATTAAAGATAAACAAACACATTCATTGTATAAGTACTGTATTCATATGACTATCATTGAGTTTGATGTAAGCAATCTCTACATCAAAAAATTCACTGATACGTGTTTCTTTTCAACTTAAGCCTATTTAATCTAAAGCAGCCACTAATGATGCTTCTAAAAAACTTCAGGATTTGGTTTTGGAAGACTGTAACAAAAGCACAATCCTTAATACAGAGTAAAAATTCCATTGAACTCAGATATTGGCAGAGAGACTAAGCCACAGATACAATTTTCCTGGTACATAGTATTATCAGCAGCATCCATATCACAGCAGAAATAGGCTTATTAGATTTTACTCTTTAGAGACAGCAGTCCACTCTCAATCACTCCTGTAACAAGAGACTGTCTGGTAGGGTACTTTTCCAAATTTTCATTGGTCATGTAGGCCTTGTGAGAAATAATATCACAACAATACTTTGAAAATGCAGGCTGTTGTCACTGGAGCTATTAATAGCTTCCGTAACTTGTAAACAGGTGTAAGAGGCAGGTGCTTTGGAACTAATAGGCTACACACCAATAAGGAAAGCAACAAAACAAGCTTTGTAAAGACTTACCAATAATGTCTTTAACAAGTTTCTGAGTGGCAGCCATCCGAGGCTTTGGGATTTCCAGTTTTTCACATTCATGATCTGACTGATGACGGTGTCTATGAGCAACAGAAGAGTGACACTAATTCAAGCTTCTATATACAAGTGAAACAGATATACAAAGCTTAAATGGTCTAAAAGATGACCTTAGGCAAAAATTCTTCTCACAATAAGGACATATAACTGCTACAAGCTCTTTTTCAGCACAGTCCTTGAATGAGCATGAGTAAGAAGTATGGTTATCTGTCTTCAGTCTCTCGTTAAGTACTGCCACCTGACAATGTAACAGGGAAAACATCATTGTATTTCACATTTAAAGCAAATATACAAATCTATTTTGGAACACAGTATTCATATCACTTTTGTTTAAACTTATTAGAACAAATTATATAATCTGATACAAAAATTATAATGAATGTTTGTCTGAGAAACAATTACTGTGCTGACTGTTGAAGTTTTTTATAACCTTCCTAAGTGATATATTTACCTTCTAAGCCAAATTAAAATAATTATCCAGTTATTCTCTACAAGTTTTTTTGTTTTATTTTGTGATCTGAGACAGGGTCTCACTACATAGCCCAGGTTGGCCTCAAATTTGCCATCCTCCTGCCTCATCCCCTTGAATGCTGGGATTACAGCCATGTGCCAATAGGCCAGTTTATTCTTTACAATCCCCACCCCTCAACCAGAATTGGGAATTAAACCCAGGTCCTGGTGCATACTAATCAAATGCTCTTCCACTTGAGTCACTCCCTCAGCCCTTTCATTCCTATTTTGTTTTTCAGACAGGCTTTAGTGTTCTTCTTGCTAACTATGCCCAGTCTTGTCTAGAACTCAAGATCCTCCTGCTTCCACCTCCCAAATAGCTGGGATTACAGCTGTGCACCATCATACTGGCTACAATTTTAATTTACTTTGTAAAAGTTCTACAAAAGATGCCCCCATAATAATATGCTCAGGTATAATCTCATCAATCCTCAAATGGCAATTCATAATTACTTTCTACTGGCTTTAGGAATTAAAAACTTATTAACTTAGGGGACAGAATCCTTAAAAATTATATATATATACATACACACACCCAGGAGACAAAGAATTAAAAACTACTTTCATAAAGTATTTTCTATACTACATTTCACATTTTGTTACTAGAAAATATTACATCGGAGGAAGACAAGATTTTGTTAAAAAAAATTCTGATCAGCCAGCAATAGAGCATTCAGTAACTAGGTTTCTAGAGTTGAATAAATTTAAAGAAATAACTGCTTGAAAACTATAACCTGAGAAAATTCTTTCGTATTAGTGATAGCTATATTTTTTTGGAATTAACATAAACATCCCTCCAAATCTGTTGCAGTGGTCTAATGGTAAAAGTTTTACTTCTTTATTTACTATGACTTTAAATGAATATTTCCTTCCAATTTGTCACTATAATACCAACATGTTAGATAATTTTAATTTTCCTCAAATAGATCACTTAGATGTGTCAGATTTTGACTGAAACCATGTAACCTTAGTTTTCTAAAACAGAAATAGATGTGGAAATCCTTGGAAAAGTGCTTGTTAAATGGTGGGCAGGAATAATGTCACCTGAAATGTGTTAGAGGTAAATGCTTCTTTCCTAGTAAAGTGAATTCAGTTTAACTCCATTCCTCTCTGTCTCCAAGAGAATGACGCAAATAATCCAATTGTCCAGTTTAAGAAAATTTTTACCTCAGGCATGGTGGATGCACCTTTCTCTTTTGTTCCTTGGAATTTTTCAGGGAGCAAACCCAATCTGACTGAGTATTGCTGTGACTGGTGGACAAGTCAGTCTAATTCTAATTTCATCTTATTCTTTTGGCAGTACTGGGGTTTGAACTCAAGGCTTCATGTGTGCTAGGTAGGTACTCTACCACTTCAGCCACACCTCCAGGCCTCAACTTACTCTTTATCAATAATAAGGGGCTATTTTGGCTTCTATATGCCAGACCTTTTCTTAATCTATTGATTTGTTCAAAGTCAGGATGGGGATTTTATTAAACTATGGGTTTGTTCCTGGTAATCTAAGACTGACTGAGCCAAGAAAACCTTACTACTACAGAATCCTATCACTAGACACTGGTGAAAATGAACACTACAATGAAGGAAAGTGTGAACTTGAAGAACTATAAGATGTGGAAATTAATTCCAATACATATTTATAAATATAAAGCTAATGTTTTAAGTGGGTTTTCTAAGTAGAAATGCTGAGGAAGAAGAATTTATTAAAGTAAAAATTTCATACCACATAGAACAATTTTTCTTTAAAATAGAGAAAAATAATATAAATGGAGCAAAAGACTCCTTACAAAATTAGTTTAGGATGCCCAACTTTAATCTCTGGCACTGGCTAGCTTTAAATCTAATTAAATTCTGAATCAAAGTACATGAGTACCAATATGTTTTATGAGATAAGAGGAAGTAAACATACCTCTGGACAACCATGAGAGTCCTTGCTTCTGTGTTCAAGGCTTGAATAATTTAAAAAAAGTGTTTATTTACATGCAATCAAATAATGCACTTAAAGATAACAGCAGCAATATGAGTTATTTTAATGTTTGGTATCCTTAAGAAAGATTGGTAACTTTTCATATAAGAATAAATTGAAATGCCAGATACGTTAAAGACGGAGCATGTACAGTATCAAAAGTTTTAAAACATAAATGTTCAACTTCAGACTGAGTATAAACAATTCAATACTCTAAATTACCTTTACTATGAGTGATTTAAGATGTATGAAAATACATTTCAATTCTTACTATTCTTAAAGGAATCAGTAAAATCCTCAGTAGTAAAATGCCAAGGAATGTTCCAATCATGAATTATTTAAAAGCATGTATTACTTTTATTTATTTCTAACAGTTTTTCTCAATTATATTCTGAAGAAATTAGTCTTTCACTGCTCTAATTAGCTAAATACTTGATATTTAAAAGTTTACTTATAAAGAAAATGTTTCCCTAAATCCTTAGCACCCAGGTTTTACTTTATGTGTGATGTGTTCAAATGACATGCAATATGTCTTTTATAGAATATACAGGTTGGGCTCTTTTCATTTATTAAAATAAACAGCAATAATCATAGTGTGATTTTTCTTTACCATATTCTTTATCTTGTGTATATTATTTTCTTCTTGTAATAGAAAGACACAAATTTGTTTTTTTCTCAAATGATTACCATACTGAATACCAAAATCAATGGCTAAAGTTACAACTTTTTAAAATCACTATACTTTTCAGAAATCAACCCTGTACTACAAACACCAAAATTAATTTCAAATTCTGCATAAAAACTTAACTTACCAAAATATTCCTGAACAACCATCACATGCAAATGGAAGAAAATCTAAAATTGGGGGGAAATGTGGTAGGTTAGTATCTGACTTTGATTGTTTTCTTAAGCAAAAGGAATTTTAAGGTATTGGAACATGTCTGCAAGAGAACTCTTTCTAATTCCCCAGTGGAGCAAGTCACTATGTAATCACTGTTAAATAAAAATCATCACAACTTCAGTAACTCTGGAAAAAAGTAACTGAATTAACAGGAGATAGATGTTACTTGTAGTAGTTTTATTAAATCAGAAAAGAAGTTTTATTGGTTTTTTTTAAATTTTGTTTTGCTTTTAAGATTTACTAGGTGTTGTTTTTGATTGCATACTGCAAATATTCTCCATTTGGAGCAAAAAATCTGGGTTTTAATCCTGACTTTACTGCTTATTAATCTATCAATGTTAAGTAGATTACTTAATAATAAAGCTCTGAGATTTATATATTTGATATAGTATGCAGTATAAGTGTGTCTCTCTGTATGCATATATACATATCCTAAACTAAAGCTCTATAATTAGGTAATATAAATATAAATATAAATAGACAGGTAAATACCTGATGTATAGATATAGATAAGCATACAGTGTGTATGTATACAATTGTGTACAGATCTATTTATCTGTTTCTATGTTGTATATACTACCTACTCCCATAGGGTAATGGTTAAAAACCAGGTGAGATATATGGAAAAGATCACAATAGCAATACAGTAACTATAAGTAATAAGAGTAATTACAACAATTAACTTCTTTTGAGTAAGCTCAACTCTAAAACGTACACTAGGTAGAGATGCTTTCAAAAAGATTCCAGAAATTCAAAAAATGGATTGATCGATACTTCAAAGTAATTGCTCTCTTTCTTGCTGTTGATGAACAACTACATTAGGACCATGTAACTGAGTAATAACTACGTTAGGAACCGAACTTTTGGAAAGTCCAAGAAAGTATCTATTCTCAGAGGTGGCAGCCAACCATTAATCATTAGCAATATGTTCTCTATCTCTTTCTAAACTGTTTTCTACTCGGGGTTGGGGATTTAGCTCAGTGGAAGAGCACTTGCCTGGCAAGTGTAAGGCCCTGAGTTCGGTCCCCAGCACCGAAAAAAAAAAAAAAGCAAAGTAAACTGTTTTCTATATATCTCATATTGAATTACATGAAGTATCTAACTGCACCACTTTCACAAGGTGAAAACAAGAAAGTACAGCTCAGTTCCAGGTTTTAAAAAGTTACAATTGCCTCCTGTGGGGTAGCTTAATCCAAAATAGAATAAAGTGGCATGTAACCATACAAGGGACCCTGGGATAATTATGCTTATAGAATATGGGCCTGAATAATTCTTCCCTCACCTGAGAAGTGGGCTTGATGAAATGTCACTGTTGTTATTATGAGGTTCTGTTTCATACCAAGAAATTAAGGACACGTGTCAGTATAAAGGAACTGAAGCATGTAATAATATTCAGTAAAACTTTGTATGTCATTTTCAATATAGAAAATTGTACAGACTTGTTATTTTGAGATGTCTGGTGACAAGTAAATATTAGATAACAAACTAAGAGGAGCCAAGGGGGAAAAATTAAGATTAATTTCCCAGCACTTGATATACCCACTTACTCTAAATCTTAACCCTTTTCCACTAGTCCAAAGGAGACAGGCACTGTCCTTATTTCAAATAATGACAATGAAGAGATGTCTGAAGTTGGAAAGAAGGACGAATTATATCACACATGGTAGGTAACATTTTTAGACTCACTAGAGGGAATTGGGCACACAGGTATACATAGTTTACAGTCAAAATCAAAATGGCTAAGCTTCCATAAAAAGGACTGCAAGAAAACATGGTTTTACCAAGAGTGGCTGATATTATAGCCAATGGTGACTGACACATATACAAATACGTGTCACATATACGGCCACACCCATAGCAGGTATTACTAAACCTCAGTGTTTTCAAGGTGACTCAGAAACTTGCAACCAATGACTGCAGTTGAAGTGACAGACCAATCCTATTTGCCATCCTAGGTTCACATTTGGAGTGAAATCCAATACCGAAGACTGAGCTGGCTGTGTGTCTCTAATGCTTTAAGTAGTTCCTGTTCCAGGAGCATTACATCCTTCCTACACCAAGGGCTATGTATATTACCAGGTTTCTCTATTCAATGGACAGAAACCATCACTGTATTATTAATGCTCTCTAATCTGAAAGCTCTCCAGTGTAAAAGACTATAGTCAGAGCATTATATAGCTAGAAGCTCTAGTTTGGTGGTGGCAGCACCAAAATCAGTGCTCTGTAAATGTGTGTACAAACAATGATGTTTAAAACCAAAGACTGAGCAGGGAGAGCATAACCTAGTGGAACAGCTTGAGCACCGGGGGCTCTTTGTGAATCTGATAAAAACCTTCTCATACACGCTCATCTCGCCCGGCTCCTTCTGACAGATGAATACAAGATAAGTAAACTCAAAGTCTGGGAAAGACATGGCTAGTTCAAGGTCGCGGTGGCCAAGGTGGGGGGCTGGAGGGCGGTGAGAGGAACTCAAGCCCCCTGACTGACGCAAGCTCTCCGGCAAGGCGCCCCCCTCCTAAGACCCCCGTCGGGCCCCGCGTCCTCCCCTCACCCGCCGCCACCAAGTCTGGCGTCAGAGCCGAGCCAGGTCTCCCGCGGCCGGGAGATGGGGACTCCGGTATCACCTCGCTGCCGGCAGTGCTCCACCTGGCAGTGCTGCCCGATGTCCAGCTCCGCCATCTTTCTCGCGCTGTAGAGGAGGGGCGGAGATGCAGGGGGCGGGGACAATGTTGTGCACGCGACGCCTACTGGGAGCGGGGAGGGCTTAGGGGCGGAGCCTGCAGGTGGGGGCGGGACGAGTACCGGAAGCTCGCCTGCGTGGAGGCGTGAATACGCGCGCTCATGGTTTCCAGTGAGACGGCGCCAATAACTGGCAAAGTGAGTGCTTTCCCGGAGTGGAGGTTCTCTCGCCCAGTTGTTACGAAAACCCCAGTCCCTCTTCTGGAACATTGAATGCTGCGGTTTTCTGCGTTCGAGCCATCAGAATCGGGAACGATCTACAAGGATTATTTTTTTTTAAATTAGTGTGGCACAAAGTATTGCAAGAATCAAATGAGAGAGATGGACACTGGTTGGTTATTCAGTGTCTGAGTCATCCTTCACCAATGGATCTTACTTATATAGTTTGAAGCAAATTCTCTTGTTATGGGAATATTAGTCTTTTTAAAAAATGAAGGTTTATTTTTCTTGACTTCCCCCCTATCCCTTTTTAATTCTGGTAGGGTAGAAGCAAACAAACAACACCCCCCCCCCCAGGTCTCGAGTGAGTACTGAGTGAGTACTGAGTACTTATGGTCATCACTTCCCTAAGACAGCTCCTGCGATTCCGCGGGGTGTTAGGGAGCCGTGGTGGTGTGACTATGAGCCACTGCCCGGGTAGGAGGAGAGTCTCTTCTAGGTGGGGTAGAAAGGAATGCCATTCCTCCACTAGACACCAGACACCACTCATAGTGCCATCACCCATACTCACGACAGGCAACAGCAAAGAATCCTATACCTCCTATGTACTTCGTGGGATTCCTAAGGCAGTATTCATGAAGGAAGGGAAAAGGGTGGGATTGGGAAGCAGGAATTAATGTCTCAAGATGTGCTGTTTTATAAATCTATTAAGATTTTCATCTCAGAATTGCCTGGCTTTCCAGAGAAACTTTAGATTTTAGAACTGGAAGTAACCTACGATATCATCTAACTACTCCAGTCTCCCTGGCATTTCTTTTTATTTAAGATGAGAAAGCTAGTGCGTAAAAATAAATGATTTATCCAAATTAGTGGATGAGCCAGGATTTAAAAACAAATACTAGTGATCTTGAATCTAAGGAGCTGTGACCTACCTGGATTTCATGATTATTTTAGCTGATGGAATCAACCAATAGTAGGTTTTCTAAAATTTTATTAAGTGTTTAAATGTTCTAGATAGGTGGCAAATAATAATAATAGGTGGCAAATAATCTTATCACTCCAATCATAATGGATTTTTCAGTTCTTGGAAACTTCATGCAGTGACTAGATGTACAGAGTAGCCAAGATTGCAGTTGCTAGCTCTTCCATCTGTAGTCTCCTTTGTCCATTTTTTCTCTAGATGCTACTTAAATACCTCTATTTCATTGTAATTTTGTCCTTGATCCATTCATCAATGAAAGTCCCATGGTTTCAATATCAAAAACTGTCATATTCATGCACTGGGTCTCAAGACCTTTGTCCCAAATGTGAAATCTGTATTTCCAGCAGTGTATTAGAAGAATCCACTTGGTGTCATTTGTCATGTAAAACTGAAGTCCAAAATAGATTGCTTTGTTACCATAACAAATGAGTCTGCCACATTAGAACCCTTGGATTCATTTTCCACTGTCCTTTCTTGCTTGAGCCATGGAAATAGCCATTAAATGCAATCAATTCTGCCTCAGAAATGTCTTTTTGTGCTTTTCAATTTCTGGTTATCCACATCTCCCTGCCAAACCCCCCCCCCCCTTACTTCCTTGCCCAAGATCTTCCCTAAGTTTCCCATTATTCACAAAATTCTTTAATTTGCTCAGTCAAGCTTTTCACAATGTAGCCTCAAACCCTCTCTCCAGCCACAGCAATAACCACTTTCCCACATACTTCCTACCATGTAATGTTTCTGAATATAACTATGGCTCTTTAATGTGTCTATGCTATACACATGCCTTCCCTTTTCCCTAGAATTTCTCTTCCCAGGTTTTCCAAACTTTCTTAAACATAAAAATTAGGTGGAGAGTTTGTTGATAAATATAGCTACCTATCCTCCTCTTGGGTCTGACATAAAAGATCTGGGAAGGTCCTGGGAAACTGTTTTTAAGAAGTGCTTTCACAGTCATTCTTATTTCAGATAAGTTTAGGAAACACTTTTCTCTCTTACCAGGACAGAATGGCATTACCTCTTCATCTGGGAAGGGTTTTGGAAGGCACAAGGAAAATTCAGTCTCTAGTAATATTACTCACTACTTACTTATTAGCACTAACCATGTCAAATCATAATTTACCCCATCACTTCTCAGTCTTTTAGCTAGTATACTTTACCTCACTCCCCTCCCCAATTATTCCTAGTGGCTTCTATTAACTGCAAAATAAAATCTGCACTCAAGCTGGGTGCCAGTGGCTCATGAGTATAATTCTAGCTCCTTGGGAGGCTGAGATTGGGAAAATTGTGGTTTGAAGTCAGCCTGGGATGAGGGGTGGGGTTGTTGAAATCCCCTCCCAATGAGGGGGAAAAACTGGGCATGGTTGTGCACACCTGTCATCCCCAAGATGGCAAAAAAAAAGTCCCTATCTCATAAAAACCACAGAAAAAAGGTGTGGAGGCATGGCTCAAGCAGTAGGGTGCCTCCCTGTCTAGCAGGTGGTGCTGCCAAAAAAAAAAAAAAATTCTGGACTCAAGTCAACTGAGCAAGTGTTTTGAACATCTACATATTAGATACTACTCAATGTCTGAGTATGACTCAATGTCATATTAAATAAGATATGGTCCCTCATGGAGCTCACATAGTCTAAGAAGGAATGTCTTTCTGGTTTTTGTTTTGTTTTGTTTTTGGCAGTACTGGGACTTGAACTTAGCCTCATACTTGCTAAGCAGGCGCTGTACTACTTGAACCACTCCGAAAGCCCAAGGAATGTCTTTCTTTGGCATTTACTATCTTTCAAGTCTTGGCCCAACCTACTTTTTCCTCATTAACTATTTTTCAAAAGACTCTTCACACTGTTCCCCATAGCCAAAAGCCCTTTGCACATGCTTTTCCTATACCCAGAATGCTCTAGTTCATTTCTCCTTTTCCTCTAGTTCTCACCTCAAGTATTTTTACTTAAGAAGTACTTCTTTGTTCTTTCTCACTAGAACAAATCTTGCTGTTACTATATTCACTTTGTGTCTTTTTCAAAATATTTGTCTCAGGGACTTGGAGACATGGTTCAACTGGTAGACCATCTGCCTAGCAATTTCAAGGCCCTAAATTCAAACCCCATACTGCTAAACAAAACAAAAACAAAACAGAACAGAACAAACAAAACAAAGCATTTGTCTCAGACTTGATTTTACATTTTTTATTATTCATATATTCATATGTACATACATTGTATAGGCCATTTCTTCCCCCTGCTCCCTCCCTCTCCTCCCCACCTCCTCTCGTCCAGGCAGAACCTGTTCTGCCCTTTTCTCCAATTTTGTTGAAGAGTAGACATAAGCAATAATAAGAAAGACATAGTGTTTTTGCTAGTTGAGAAAAGGATAGCTACACAAAGAGATTCCTAGCATTGCTTCCATGTACAAGTGTATTACAACCTGAATTGATTCGTCTCTGCCTCAACTCTTCACTACTTCCTGGTCACCTTCCCATATTGACCTCTGTTGTTTTAAGGTTACTGTATTAGCTCCACTGCAGTGGGGACATCAAACACTTTGAATTTTTGGGTTTCCTACCTATCCCCATTCCTCCTGTATGTGCTCTCCCCTTAGCAATGTGACCCAAGTTCAACAGCACTACTGCATTTGCCCTAGATCTAAAATCTGCATATGAGGGAGAACATACGATTTTTGGTCTTCTGAGCCTGGCTGACCTCACTCAGAATGACATTCTCCAGTTCCATCCATTTACCTGCAAATGATAATATTTCATTCTTATTCATGGCTGAGTAAAATTCCATTGTGTACAAGTACCACATTTTCTTGATCCATTCATCAGTAGTGGGGCATCTTGGTTGTTTCCATAACTTGGCTATTGTGAATAGCGCTGCAATAAACATTGGTGTGCAGGTGCCTCTGGAGTAACTTGAGTCTCATTCCTTTGGGTATATCCCTAACAGTGGGATTGCTGGATCATATGGCAGATCTATGTTTAGATTTTTAAGAAGCCTCCATATTGTTTTCCAGAGTGGTTGCACTAGCTTGCATTCCCACCAGCAGTGTATGAGAGTTCCTTTTCCCCACAGCTCGCCAACATCTGTTATTGGTGGTGTTTTTGATGAAGTGGAATCTTAGTGTGAAGTGGAATCTTAGTGTGGTTTTGATTTGAATTTCCTTTATGGCCAGAGATGGTGAGCATTTTTTCATGTGTTTTTTGGCCATTTGAATTTCTTTTGAGAAAGTTCTGCTTAGTTCAGTTGCCCATTTCTTTATTGGTTCATTGATTTTGGGAGAGTTTAGTTTTTTGAGTTCCCTGTTTATTCTGGTTATCAGTTCTTTGTCTGATGTGTAGCTGGCAAATATTTTCTCCCACTCTGTAGGTGGTCTTTTCAGTTTAGAGACCATTTCTTTTGTTGTGCAAAGGCTTTTTAATTTTATGATGTCTCATTTGTCCATCCTTTCTCTTAGTTGCTGAGCTGCTGGGGTTCTATTGAGGAAGTCCTTGCCTATACCTACTACTTCCAGAGTATTCCCTGCTCTTTCCTGTACTGACTTTAGAGTTTCAGGTCTGACATTAAGGTCCTTGACCCATTTTGAATTGATACTAGTACTGGGTGATAAACATGGATCTAGTTTCAGTTTTTTGCAGACAAATAACCATTTTTCCAGCAACATTTGTTGAAGAGGCTGTCTTTTCTCCATCATATGTTTTTGGTGCCTTTGTCAAAAATAAGGTGGGCATAGCTTAGAGGATTCACAACTGGGTCCTCTATTCTGTTCCACTGTTCTTCATGTCTGTTTTTGTGCCAGTACCATGCTGTTTTTATTGCTATTGCTCTGTAATATT